TTATTTTCATTAAATATTCGCGATAAAATTTCTTTTTTTATTAATTGATGACAGATATTAACATACACAACACAACGCAAGACACGAGTTTTAAATTTGACTCATTGCAGGAGAAACGACAATTTAGTTCAAACAAATTGGGACAAAGACAGGAATAGACTTAAAGTGGCCTTAAAAATGCTAACACGGTTTCATGCAGTAGAGTATTTTGCTGGGGAATATGTCTCATTACAAAATAAAAATGTTCATAAATTCGGTTAATAAAACGGGCGACTTGAATTTCCGAAATGCTGGCAACGCGCCAATGATTGGGGAATGTCAAAACAACTGTTCAATGGAATGCTTTCTAACGGTCAACATTCCACGGAATTTAGGAACTTCTTATGTCTTTGAAAGTGCAAGTTTCGGTCAAACAAGATTCGTATTTTTCATTTCACAGAGTATTTTTAGTGCGTATTTTAATGCCTTTGTAATATTTTATATAAAATGATTTAATTATATGAAGAATAAACGTAACCGTAGTATATATTTATAAATGATGATAAGTATTACATGTTTAATATGCTTTTAACAACCTTCAGTAGAAATAATTATTTCAATAATTAGATGACCGACCGATATGGCTATTGTTTGTGTTGTATTCGTGATTTATAGGATTTTATTCTTCATAAAAATATTGTTATGAACTTAATGTAAATGAAGTCATCTAAACTCATCGTTATTGATTTGTCTCACCCGATAATTGTATTATAATTATTTTTAAATGTGAATATAATAGGTACATATTTATGAAGTTTAGCTTGTAACAAATACGGCCGTATTGACAAATAAAAATGTATTGTACGTTTACAATTGCAAAATTTTACAATAATTTAGTATCAATATAACTACATGGTAGACTCCTAAAGTCCAATAGGAAATGGTAAATTATACAAAAAATCTACTATAAAATATTATAAGGTGCTTGCTCTTTTGCGACTACAATATAAAATAAATTCCTCAGATAATACCTTACAGTAATTTAATTACTCGTATCTCAGTGCCTAGCCTATGGATAATTTGTTAAATAGTTTATAATAGAATTTACCTCAGCTACCATAATATCTCGTTAAAATTCCAATGCATATCAACATTCGAGATTTTCATCATATTACTTTATATTTAAATAACTGATAATTTTAGCATTGCTTTGCTTCATTGAGTTACATGAATATAAGAACATCATAAGAATATTTTTATCTCGTGTATTTTGGGATTTCATTATAAGAAGCTTAGTTGAAATTTTAAACATTTCTCGTTTATAAACGAATATTTTATACATACACTTCATATGTGGTCATCAAGTCATCAGCTCTTAACTACGTCCAGTATATTTATCGCTAACCCTACGGAATTGCTCAATAAAATCTCTCATTCCCAACGGCAGATCTTTGTTACGATATACGCCTGGCTACATCATTTTTAATAGCCATACTGGGTCCGCCCATGCAACACCCACAAGTCCACATTCTTTTAATTCCATTTTGACACCAAGATGTTTTGTTAAACAATATCGTATCGTATGCAGAACTGACACCAAGATGTTTTGCTTCACGTTATCTTATCGAATCGTATACAGAACTTGATGCTACTACAATTCCTGATTTACCGTACTACAGTGCCGATTATAATCGATTAAACATGTCTGCAGGAAATCAGTGATTCACGGGGCAGGTTTTGAATTAATGTTACTTCAACAAAAACAATTGGTTGGTCGGTCGCGGCTTATTGGTGTCCGTGTGGGATGAGTCAACTCCATTTGCGTCATGATACTTAGGTGATGTTTGTTTCCCGTCGACCGTGGCAGTTCCGATCTATGTCTACGTAAGTACGTCACAAGCGTGACGATTATTGACCTCATGTTACGATTTCTCCTAGGTAGATAGTGTATTTATATCTTTCAACATATTTAAGCAATAACTGTTGCTTTATTTGGGATAAACACTTGATACGCTTACGAGAAACTAACTATATGTAGTCCAACAAGGGTTTTGCAGTTGGTTTTTCCACAAAAGCCATTTCCTCCTCGCACCAATTTACATTATTCACAGGGCATAATCATTTTTAATATACAATATTGTGTAAAATAAGTGTTATATTATGTACTTATTGATAATATTTTGTTTATTACGCAATACTTTGCGTTAACCTGTGAAATTGTGAGATGAGAGACTATGACAAACATGGAACAACAAATTGTAAAACCTTAGGAGTTTCACCCACCTGTGCTATAGTAAACTGAATAACTTTTATTATTTAGACTTAGGTAAATTAAATTTTATGAAAAATCATGTCATAGGAACCATGCAAATGTTTTGCTATCAATAAAAATTAAAACCGATATTTGAATTCTGAAATTAAAACAACGTTAGTTAAATTAAAAAAAGACAAGCGAGCCTTAAATCCTTTGCTTATTCCTTTGCTTTCATAAAACCGCTGCATCTGCCCCGGTATCTTTGGATGTAATAAAGATACATAATCGTACACCTTCCTGTGTACTCACTGATAAATGCAATTGCAAGCATATTAAACGCTCAGAGTTTATAAAATATCTAGGTGTAGTAATAGATGAAAAGCTTACTTTTAAAATACACATAGCTGAAATGTGCAAGAGAGTGAGGAAGATAGCTAGCGTTATGAAAAATCTTCGAGATGCTGTAGATGGAAAAATCTTAAAGATGGTATATCTGGCTCTCTGTCAAAATGTAATTAACTACTTTATCCTGGTTTGGGGGGGCTCTAGTTCTTTAACATTACTTCCACTCGAGAGAGCTCAGAGAGCGGTTTTAAAGGTGGCACTCCGAAAACCTATGCTTTTTTCAACTGATGCTCTTTACACGGAAGCTAAGGTCCTCAGAAGACTTTACTTGGTGAGGGTGGCTGTTTGGGTCCATAAGAATGTAATTGTGTCCAATGGGTATAACGCTTTGTTTAATAAACGTATTTATAAACTACCCAATATCACAACGTACACATCTTTTGCAAAGCGGTTCGGATCTTTCCTTTTTCCATTTATTTATAATAAATTAGCAATCATTTGTCAGCTAAAAAAGTGTACTGTGAATGAAACGAAGCGTCTTGTGGCCATGGCTGTAATGAATTTAACATACAAAGAATGTGAAAACATAATGGATATTATCATATAAAGTTAATCTTTAAAACGTGAAACACACACACACCACACACGCACACATACTTACACACACAGACATACGCGCACACACATTCACACGCACATACACACTCACACGCACACACACACGCACACACACACGCACACAAAATGTATGTATTTATATAAATGTATTCTGTAAATCAACTCCGCTGTCCTATTTAGTCACATTTATTTAATGTATATCAAAATCCTTCCCCCACAGGACAGGCTAAGCCTAGTGTGGGAGCTAGAAATCTGTAAAATTGTTGTGAAATTTGGAAATAAATTATTATTATTATTAATTAGCAAAAAAGAAATAAAACCTTCTACAAAATAAATAAGCCACTCTCACAAATTGCTGGAAAGCGTGAGGAAAGATGTTACACATCAAAAAATCTATTTCTACTAAAAACATAAAACATGAATCTTGTTCCGTTACTTTTATGTCAATGTGAATCAGCGCTCGCAACCTTGAACGCTTCGATAGCTAATTAACGAAGTAAATTTAACGTTTTCTTCAGCCGGGCTTTCTCGGCCGCTCGGCTAATGTGATTCTGTTATTCTTTGTTTCTGTTTCTGGATGCAAAACAACATTCCCTACATGGTGTGCCGCCGGAGCCAGCCCGCCCACTAGTCACTTCGTAGCATAAACAACTACCAATGCGTTTTAGTATTTCAATAGCATAGTCTGTGACTGCGTAATGTGGCGCCATGGGGCGAATAGGCATTTATTGCAGTACCAGTTCAATATTGCAATGTGGTGTACTTATCTTCAGAACGCTATCGTGACACAAAATTATCACTGAATAACAGATATTGTATGTAGGGCATGTAACATTTTCGTATATTTTTTTGTAATCCATGACGTAATCATGATATCATAAACTGATTCGAATAGGAAAAGAATAGCATATATATATATAACATGTTTTTATAACATATTATCTATAATTACTAGGAATAATGGTTATATCAGACCACTTTAGTACTTATTATAAGGTAAAAGTCTATAATAATCCATTAATTAATATTTTAGTCGTAATTCTATTCATCACTGAAATGAAACAGCAAAGGGAATTAAAACATGAACAGTATTCCTAACACTATTTTTAACTAAGAGGCGAACAAAGTTTTGATATCCTAGATACAATTCGTTATGGAAGCAATCCCTGATTAAATGTAGTACTGTCAATATTTCTGATTTCCGTAACCCTTCTTTGAGATGGGCGCAATGGATGATCATCGTCATTACAATTCTCCCTTGTTGAATTTTACCCTAAAGAGCTAGCCAGTCCGGTATTGAACATCACTAATAAAGGCTTTGCATTGAAGCAACTTTACCTAATTCGGGTGAAGCAAGCAGGGCCCATAATTTGATATGGTTTTTGTGAGTCGGAACTCATTTTTAGATAGTCTTTATTGATTTTTTTGTAAGTTTCATTTAAGGTATAATGAGGCCCATGTACTATTAAAATAAAAGCATCCAAATAAATCCATCTGCTGTTCAATACATGATATTCTGAGAACTTACCACGTGGTAACTCCTCTTGCCTAAACTACTGGACTGGTTAATATCTTCGATATATTTAAAGTGTGGAATAATATCTTTAATATTCAATTTATATTATTAGCAGGATTGCTACCATGTTCTCCTTTTTTATGAGTCCTCGATATTTTGCCACTGTTTCAAGTGCCATGATTAACAGATAATCAGTGAATGCGTGATCATGGACATAAATTACTATAATATTAGTGACCACGAAAGTTAAAAGAATTGATATTCATTTGTTTGTTGTTTATATTCCAGGGCCACCGCCACGGCTGGGGCTGAAGGCGGCGAGCCCCGGGGTCGCCGACGAGGACTGCAACAGCAACACCAGCCTCACCGGCAGCCAGCATTCCGCGCACGACGACCTCGACGCACACTGCGACAACTCTGGCTACCTCTGGTTCTTAGACTATAAGTAAGTTTCCATCATTGGAATCTAATGGTTTAATGGAGAATGTTTTTGTTCCCTGGTTCACTTATATACCTCACCGGCAGCCAGCATTCCGCGCACGACGACCTCGACGCACACTGCGAAAAGTGCTACTTACTACCTCTGGTTCTTAGAAGTAAGTAAGTTTCCATTGGAATGGTTTTATGGAGATTGTGTATGTTTACGAGGAGTTCGATGGCGGAAGTAGTTAGCGCGGTTGGCTGCGAACGTTGAAGTTAAGCAACAGTGGTCGAGCATTGGATGGGTGACCAAAAATTTTGTATCCGTGCTTCCGTAGGTACGTTAGCCATTGGTCCCGGCTGCATCTGTAGTCTTCTGCAGTTAGCACCCACCAATCCGCACTGAGCCCGTGTGGTGAGTCATGGCCCAATCTCCCTATTCTATCCATAGAGAAGGCCTGTACCCCAGCATGGGAGACATTAATAGGCTGATCATGATGTGTATGTTCCCTGGTTCACTTATACCTATATACCGACAGCCAGTACTTGGCGCATGCCGACTTTGACGCCGGCCACGTCTGGTTCTTATACTACAAGTAGGTTCCATCATTGGAATGGTTTAATGGAGAATGTGTATGTTCCCTGGTTCACTTATATACCTCACCGGCAGTCAACTTACGCCACATAAAAACCTCGATGTACACTGCAACAACTCCGGCTTCCTCTGGTTCTTAGACTATAAGAAAGTTTCTATCATTGGAATGGTTTAATGGAGAATGTATATATGTTCTCTGCTTTATTTATATACCTCACTAGCAGCCGGTCCATGGTGCATGACCACTTTGACGCACACTGCACACAACAACTCCGGCTACCTCTGGTTTTAAGACTTCGAAAAAGTTCCATCTTTGGAAGCATTACATAAATGAAAAATGTAAATGTTCCCTTTTATGTATTTAAAAAACGTATCAAGCTTAATAGCCCACGTTAAGCGGCTCCTATATCCTACAGACGATTGCGATACCAAAGTACCACTTGCGATGTTGTCTACCCTGACCCCTTCCCCTATCCCATGGAGCCCTGGACCTTACTTACCGACTTATTACAGTAGTATTATTATAATCATCATAACAGCGGAGAGTTACCCACTGCTGGGAATAGGCCTCCCCCAAGAAATTACAAACCGATCGGTCCTGCTCTGCCCGCATCTTGCGGCTTTCCGCGACCTTCACCAGATCGTCGGTCTAAGTTGTGGGAGGCCTACCAACGCTGCGTCTTCCGGTACAAGGCCGCCACGCGGACCTTTTCCCCCAACGGTCGTCAGTCCTTCTTGTAATGTTCCCTGCCCACTGCCACTAAGGTCTTACAAGTCTTGCAATGACGATAACCTTACGTCTCCTGCAGATCTCATAATTTCTGATTCAATCGTCCAGAGAAGATTATAAGAGTCATGTAAATCAACGGATACGCTAATTTCAGAAAAAGTCGATGAGTATTTTGGACACATCTAAAACACCTATCAATGCCTAGTTACTTGCGTTTGACTGTCTTATGATATTTCGTAAATAATTATGTTCAAAGATGTGTTTTCTTTTTACAGCCCAATATTTCGAGACGGCTCGTGCCATCACACCTCAGTCCTCTCCTCCGTGTCAGCCTCTTACAAAGGCATCAGCGACCTCGCCTCTCGCTTCGAGTTCACGTCCCGCTACAACGATCTGGCTAGGGACCTCGATGCGAACCTCGCCGAGGCTGACATGGAAAGCTTTAAAACCGAAGACATACACGCACTGCTTATGACCGCCAATCTACCACACGACGACGACAGAACGCATGATGTGAGTGGTCATGTGAGTCTCTGAGAAAATTGCAAATTATCACTAGTAAATCTAAGTACATACTTCATATACCTAAATCTAAAAGGATGTTTGTTAATCTGATGTAGATTTTGAAATGTGTGATTTACCTGTTGTTGGACTAATTATTTAATGTGTGATTTACCAGTTATATAGATAGAAATAAAATCACTTAGGTGTACGAGAACCATGAGAATTCAAATTTTATTGCTGAAAGCATAAAAATTCAGGAATAAATGTAGGAGATACAAATATAAATTTCTGAGTCGTAACACCTGAAGCATATGTTATTATGTTAATGGCCTGTTTAATACACTCCGATCAAGGATAGATAACAAATTACAAAGTGAATAAACGTCAAAACCTCTTAGCAAATTTGAGATTTTTTTTGTGATTAAAACGGTGCCGTAGTTAATGTGCGTGTTGCAACCTCAATACTATAAAAGGACAAGTTTTTCGAATTACATTTCTTGCGCTTTCTTGACCCGTATTTAGTACATTACATCTGTAATTTTAATTCGAATACTTAGGGTCTGTTTTCGTCTAGAACAGTGTTTCGGGACATCAACTTTCATTTTGCAATACTTACAATCACCAGCAAACATTCCTGTTATGGTACTGCTGGAAAACTGAATTTACCTTCGTAACTAGTTATTTTAATATAGGAGCATTTTTTTCAAACAATAGGTACAGTACATTTAGTCCCTTATTTGATTTGCTATTTTTATCAATATAGTCTTACCAACTGTTTTTTCAATTATGACGAACTAAAATTATATTTAATTATTTTTATTCACAAACACCAGCGGGGTTATTTTTTCTGTGAATCTTTTTCGCTGTGAATATTTTTAAACATCATTATTTTAATACATTCTTTGGAATCCCTTCGTAATTTTTTTATAGGTAATTCTTTGAGCGTAATTCAAATTAACTTACTTCATTTATCAACAATATCTGTCCAAAATTCCTTCAGGGCTTATAAGTATACTGGGAAACATTGTAATTTCGTATTTTTTTTTATTTCTAATTATATTAAAAAAAGAACTTGGTTTCTATAACTGTATATCACTACATTAATCGCTGTATTTATTATTCATATTTCATATTAACATTTGGTTCAGGAATGTTTTCAAATAAGTATTTTATTTATGTTATATATGTATTTTATTCCGCTTATTGTTTATTATTTTATCTATATACATCATATATGTTTATTTTTTCAGTTTTCTGTTCGTCTAACTTTGTTGGTTCATCTATTTGTGTGGTGTATTGCAGAGTAACCCCAGGGGAGAGATGTTTGCCAGCATCTCGAGTTCTCTCATGGAAAGATTTCGGTTCGACAGCAGTATCAGTATCGACAGTAGTTACCAGGTTCGCTTCTAATTGCTGTTCAGTGTTCATATTTCACCACATGAAATTTTCACCGACGCTACTAAATTTTGGCACAGAAATCACACATTTTTTTATTTTTATTAGTTTTTGACATATCCTTATGATCAAGCTATCCTCTGCTGATCGTGTAACGCCATCTGGTTTGTAGAGAAGAGGAGCATATACGAAACATTAACAGAGCTTACAATGTCTCTACAAAGAATGACGATAGATGGCGCAAGTTTGATAGAAAGGTTACGTTTTCGTATTGATACCAGTAACACAAAATAATAAACATAAATAATATTTGAGATTTATAAATTTTCACGCTGACATTGACTTTATAGAGCCATTCAACTCCCCAGTAGCTTTCTTACGCAAATAAATTATATGAAACTTAAACCTTATTTACTGCAAGCTCTTTGGATTTTTTGTTATTTTATTCCCCCTTATTCAAGCTTTTGATATTATTATAAGATCTATATTGACCACGCTAAACCAGAAGCGAAGAAAACTAATGAATGCGCCAGCCGCAAACATTCTTGTGCAACAAGTTAAATCAGATAGGACAATTTCGGTAACAGTAAGTTGTAAGCATAAGCGAAAATTTGGTAACCTGTCATCATTGTTTCCGAAAATCATAATTATAAAGTCACACCAAAACCAAAGCTGTTTCATGAGGTTCATTCCCACCTCGCCCACGTTCTTATGGTGTGATACGTGTGATACTAATTTAAAACAGTGACCTAAAAAATTGTGTATTTATACAATAACGCTTATTAACTACAATTTTCGGTTTTTACCTGTGCTGTTACATATTGCTTCTTGCTGCCTTTCATGATTCTGGGTCAGTGAGAACCCTAAAATTTTTGGCACCCTAAGCCTTTAGGAGTTCCAAAACATGCGGTATCGAAACGATCGTATCATTAATTGCTTTTTCTTAGAAACTTAACTTATTTAACAGTTCGAAGCAATTACAGAGCTGAATAATTATAAAAAAGAGCTGATAGGTAATAATTTCTTCGTCATACCTTCACGTATTGCTACGAAGCGAAGTGATCTTATAAGAGTTCCCTTTGTTTTTAAAGTATGGAACAATAAACCAATAACACGATCACATCTAACTAGGCTTAGGGATCCCGAGTTCGATAACAAAGGTCGGACTTATTAAGAATGAAGAATATAATAATGCTTTTAAGTTCGTTTTACACCCAAAAACGAACAAAAATATAATACATATCTATCTTAAAGATTTGGAGTTTGTTGCTAAGCATAAGAACTCGTGTTCTGAATATCATAAACAAAATTAAATTTCATTTTGGCGGTCTCCTTTTAATAATCCGAAGACCAAGACTCAGTACGAAAGAGAATCACTATTAAAAAATACGTCAATGCGATGGCAATCAAATCGTGTAACTTAATATATCGATGCCAAGTCTGCTGTAAAAAATAAACCGGACGTATTATTTTCAATGAGAATGACAATGAACAACTAAAAATATGTTTCTACTACTCCTACTCAGAAACAGTATTGGGGCGCTGGGAATGCTAAATAAAAAATATATGGGCTACAGAATGAAACATCGACTTATCGAATTGGATGGCCTAGTAGTTAAATTTCAGTGGTCATCAAAATTTACATTATAAAAAGCATGCCAAAGCGGATGCTAGTTAGGGGATTATCAAGTCAAAGATGCAAAATCAAAAATTATAAAAATAAGTTGTATGATTACAAATTACAGGTAGGAAACACCGTATTTTCCGTAAAAATAAAAAAGAGCGTAGAAATATTAGTATTCACCGTGCTAATAATAGGTATAGTATTATTATTTTTTGGAACCTTAAAGATAATAAAGATAATACATATTGTTAAAAACAATGTTGTTTCGTAGTTTAGTGTACCTGCAGTGGAAAGGTTGCCAGAGGTGAATGGATCAGTCACATTTAGTCATTCTTGTATAGATAGACGTCTTACTTGGCAGACATTAGTTAGGACTGAGTAGTTCCTGGGTAATTATAATAGCAGGTTATTTATTAAACCCATCATAGTAATTTCGCAAACATACTCTGTCCATTGATAGATTTTACTATCAGATTTACTGAAACGTTTGTGGCTAAAATATTCAATGTCTTTTTCGAACTTCATCCAGTTTACTTTCGGTAAAAGACGCACCCAAATAAAATGGTACTATGCAAATAATTTTGGTATAATAACGTCACGCGTCATTTTAATTAACAAACATTTTCGTCCCAGGTAAAGATACTCACACACTGAAACGTTGGAACAGTATGAAGCATTCATGACGCTTCAAATATAGGTACAGATATTATAAGTATAGCGAGCTTTGCTCCCGTGGGACGTACCAGTAGTAAATATAAAAGAGAATCGAATGTACGCGTGTGTTAGTGAGCCCACACGGGATTGCGTCAATCTGTACAGCCCGACTCGTTACTCCCCCAGTCACACAGTAATTCCCTCCTATTCTAGTGTGCGTGTGCCATATTTAGTTGTCTATATGTGAGGCCGAGCACATATTGCTGCCATGTGTGCGTTACCAATGAAGTCTATCCTGCCTGACACTGGTTCCCAAACTGTAGAAAATTTAATTTATAGTTTAAAACCAAAATTAAAGGCAACATTTTCTCATTAGCAATGGCAGGCGAAATGCAGTACAATGCTTTAAAAACAGCTTACAACAATAATTATACCCATATCTCATTTACTAATTGAGTAAACATACATTGTTACTCGGGCTTTAATATCAGAATAATGATCTGATACATGCGGGAAAGACGTATAGTCAATTAGCTCGTTCTCATGAATCACTAATTACTTCGATTACGATAAACTTTGAGAAGGACGGGCTGTGTCTAATATTAAAATTAATACGCCCGGTGCCCCAGTCGCGTCCAGAACTCCCGGGAGTGCTGAGTACTGTAACTTTTTTGCGATGCAAGTAATCATGCGTTTCAATTCCAATAAAAGTGATGTGTTAACGGACTTAATAGATAATTGTGTGTGCGTAAGATAAGGCCCCTGTGAACTCTATAAACTTATTGACTCATTAATCGTGAAGTGAAACGGCACGATGCCAGAGACATTTTAAAGTTACAAGCAGTTGTTGAATGATTTATTACTTCTAAGAGACTGTGTGAAATAAACTACCAGTGATAAAAATGGGTGTGACCGAATATGATTGGGATTCCTATAAAGGATATTACTCAGTGAGTAGCACATACATTAACAGAAAAAACATGTACCCGCATAAATTGATTCGCACAGTGTGCTTAAGTATTTTTAGTTTTAATTATGGCGTTTATACTTAATGTTTCTTAAACACATACTGATTTCAATAAACTCTGCAATAACACTGACAATATAACATATTAATCTGAATTTATTACTAATGGTATTTCCTTTTAACTAAAAACTCTCTTAAACTTTTTCTTTAATAATTATATTATTATTGTGGATATTTAATGTATTTATATTATATAATTTTAACATATATTTAATTAAGTTTTATTACAATTTCTCACCAAATTACTAAACCTTTCTAATTTAATAAATTAATTTCATTAATGTTTTTGTCCTATTTCTTTTCATTAAGCAATTTAACTAACTATGAACACAATGAGTCGGTATGATGACTCGTAGTTTGATTTGTGACCTCATTTGTAGCAGGAAAGGGAATTACATTGATAACACCAGAGTGTTGGTCGGCCATGTTGGTATTTTTATTTAAAACATCCTGTTATTTCTTGCTGAGTACAAGAACCAAATTATACATAGAATACATATTAGTAATACCAATTCTAGTCCATCCTAGTAGGTATGTTCAGTGTAAATTTCATTATTATTAATTATAATCATCACATAAATATCAAAATCGTGTTTTCTTATCTTTACCAAATTTTAACTACTCACAAATATGAGGATAGCCCATATAGAATAATATTGTAGACGAAATCATTTCGTTCGTTGCTTCAGTTCAGTTGCAGGCGATCGGTGCACTTTCTTTATTTAGACGCGTCTTACATCCGTGTTCAGAATTATAGCTAAACGTAAATGTTTATGCTCGTTGCGGGTGTTTCGAAATCTACACAGATAGTTTAAAATACGATTGTATGCATTTAATCTGTGAGATGCTTACCATGTCGTTTTTGTAAAACTCATCCTTTTCGTATTCGATTCAAAGGATAGGATGTTAGTCTGATGTTTAATTTATATACACAAAGGTGTCGGTTATGGCAGGCTTCTTTTTATTTAAAACTAAATTTAACATCATTCTGTCCTTTTGGTTCTGTATAAAGAATGACAGGGATACACTATTATGAAATTTAAGTTTAGCTTAAGAGAATCATGTTAGAATTGACACCATTGTTTTTAGAAAATCTTACTTACTATAAAGTTAATTAACTCAGAAGTAGATTTAAAGTTTCAAATAAATTCACTTAAGAAAGATGATCAGGTTGACTAAGGTGGTTTCACTAGAGGAATATTGTAATCTTATAGTCTTTAAGGAAAAGTTTTTAGCAGTAGTATTTGTTTATTCAGGGCGAAGAGTCTGTTGGTTCGATCAATACGATGTCGATATGCAAGTCGGAGTTGCTCTTCTCCCCCGTGAAGGAAGGCGTTCATGGCGTCCACTTCAGCGTGGACAGTCTTGACTGTGAGCTGCCCACGGAGCAGGACCTCATTCTTACCTGCCAAGCCAATAAGGACAACTATACTATTGCCTTTGAGGGCAGCCTCACCACGTATTCTGAGGACAGTGAGTGCATCGAGCTTGCCGTCAATCACAAACATGGTATGTAATTTTCCGGTGTGGCGGATTATTCAGTTTAATCGAGTTAATTTAGGATTTATGGACCTGGATTTTGTCTAGGAGGAAGTTTATGACACCAATACACTATAACAACAAAATTTCTACTTTATAATTAAAACAAAAGCGTATCTACGTTTCAAATTATAATTTTTGTTTTTCATTTTCTGTTGTAATGCACTACTAATGAGTATTGTTCTGATAAGCAAGAAATTGTGTTAAAGTAACGATAATGGACATTTTGTTTAGTTGTTATTATGATATATGATGATATAAAGACAAAAGATTCCTTTAAACGCTAATGATTTATAATGAGCTAATTGTTTACAATTCGTTTTTCAGACAAATTGGGTAAAGAAGATGTAAACGTAATTTTAGATAACGATGAAAGAACGCGCAGGAATTTAGAATTATTAGAAAGATGTAAGAAATTAACTAATAAATTAACCACTTCGATGGCAAGAAGTGATTTAGGATTAACTACTTGGAGTAAATTAAAGAAACAAAACAGTCAATCGCCGCTAAGAAGGTAAGATCTTATCGATCGTCACATCATATCGTATTCACATCATTGTACCTAAGCGAAAGAAAATCATAGGGTGCACTTGCAGCTGCTTTGCCACTACATGTTTATTTATTTATTTACTCTTTATCGTTTACAACAATTGACAGACCTAATGCCACAAGGCTCTGTCAGTCAATCATCAGGCTAAGCAGAGTAATCACATTTAGTTAAAGTGTATATCAACAAAATGAGCATGTTGGAAGACATTTAATGTTACTGCAGGCGATAGAATGGCAACATATCACTATAGTTTGAAGCCCTGCTAGTCTCAAAGTCGTACAAATGGTGTGTATGTTATTTCATAACTATCAACCTGTGTATTGTTTATTTTAGACATCCATCTGGAAATAACAATGAAGATTCTAATGATGCTGCTGATATGACAAGCGACATGAACAACTCAGTCATTAAAAGCCAAAGTTTACCTAATCTCTATAGGCGGAAGCTTCTCAATAGCTCCATCAATTCCACCGTGCTCAGTACTTCAACAGTAAGTTTATTTTGTTTTAAATGATCTAAATAAATGACTGTTTTGAAGTTATAATAAAAATATAACTTTTATTATTATTTTTAGGTCGATTCTTTTACTACCAACCAAAGACTAACTGGTACTCCTACATGTATGAAAGTATATGATGTATCACAAAATCGTTCATCACATGGCAGTCAACATTCAGAGCCCATGAGTACATCATCAACTGAAAATCAAACTTCTTCCGACAAAAGTCAATCAAAACAACAATTTAACTTAGTGAAGCTATTTATGAAACAAAAAAGCATGAGTAACGATGGAATTGTTTGTATGGATCAATTAGATAGATCTGAATGTTGGCCATCAAGTTCTGGGGGAGAAAGTGGAGATTCTATAGGTGAACAGAAATTGGAAATGAAACTGTCCGAACGACCCCAAGCAGAATTGCCAAGTAATATTGAAGAAACGTCAAATATATATGAAGAAATACCGTCGTCTAATCCTTATAGTAATAGAGTATATGATGAAGTTTTAATTGAAGAAGAGGAATCTATTGAAGATTCGAAATTAAACGAAAGTGACACATTATATGCCACTGTCAATAAGCCGCACATGAAAAGAGCAACCTTAAACGTTGTTAACAGTCCATCGAAATTGAGAAACAATAGAAAATCATATTCATCACAATCATCGGCTACTAGCGTTAGTATTTCAAGCTGTTCTGAATCAGATGGCACCCAAATTACGAAAATGCATAAAGTTTTACAAAGAGAACCCAGTGATAATAAAGCCACCTCAACTCATATAGAATCTGATACAATAGATAGAAGCATGCAAACATCTAGTATGCAGCTATCTAGCTTGTCTCATGAACGTGAAGTACTAAAATTAGTTGAAACATCGTTCCTTGAAAAACTCAAAGAAGGAGATTGCGAGAAGCCAGTTTTTGTATTATACCCAAATTATACTTTGCCAGACATAAGCTTTTTGAATGGAAGACCAAATATTTATCTCAATCCTATAAAAGTTAATGTATCGCCTAAAACAAGTGAACATAAAAGAAATAGAATGCACGTAAAAGGAAAACGACCGTTTTCATGCAATGATTTAGAAATGTTAAAGAAAAAAGGTGTTGGTCATATAAAAGATTGGGACTCTCTGAACTTTCTATTGCCAATGGAATGTAGACAACTTTTGTCAGAAATACCTGAATTCACTCAGACTTCAAAGTGTACTGATAAGTACTGTAACTCGTCACCATCATTAAAGGCGAAGAATAGACCCACAAGTTGTGACTGCAACAATATGGCCGGAAATACCACTGCAGTCTCTTCTAGTTCTAGTACGGCAACACAACCGTCATCTGGATATCGCGGTTCATCAACAATGTTAACTGATTCCTCTGCTCAAAACAGTCCAGCTCCGGCAAGCAATTTCAACCCACTATTTGTTTATCGATATGAAAGTGCAACTAGTTCAGAAACTAGCACTATGAACAACGACGGTCAAAGAATGAACCCAGTTATTCCTAAGCGATCACTTTCTTTGGCTGATCAAAATCGAGTAGCAAAACAGGGAGAATCAGTGCCTCCCAGGCCACCTCTACCAAAAAGTATATTACGAAAATCTATGGATAAAACTCGGAAGTCAAGTTCTCACACAAAGCGCTACAGTATGTTCGATATGGATGACTTTATTCAAGACCCTGTAGTTTGCATGACTGCTGCAACTGAACATAAAACAAAGAGAAGGTCATTGCAGGAACCTTATTACCTGCAAAATCAAAACTTCGATTATAGGAAAAATAATGATTTAGCAGCAAAAAGACTATCTCAACAATTCCTTGATGCTGCTGAAAAAGATGCCGATTACAATGAATATTATCAAGATGAAGGTGTCGGAACTGAGAGTAGCCTGGAATCTGGAAAGTCAAATGAACTTAGGTTTCATAGACCACATACGCCTCCATTGCCTAAGCCAAGAAGTAAAAAAATTGAATACACAGAATTTCCACCACCAGGCGCACTAATTAGCAGTGCAGATTTGCAACAATTGGAAGAGTTTTTGAAGTTAAGCGGGTTTAATTGTCAGAACATGGATGAATGGGACCAAAACCAAGTACAAAAGGTAAGGAATCAGGTTTCTAAATTCCTCCAAATGAAACGATCTCAAGAGGAGAATCAGAGATCCACGGAATCAAGTGGTAGTAGTTGCAATAGCAAAAAGTCAGTAAGCTTTGCCCAGAAATCTGAAGCGAAGATCGAAGGGCAAGCAACTCAATTGAAACCTGTGGATGAGTTAAAAATTGACACTCTTTCAACGCCACCTAATTCTCCAAATATTTCTGCTGGAGCAACTCAAAGGCATTACCAGGTAATACTGATTTTAACATTTAGTGCATTGCTCCTGCCATTACCAATTGATTTCTGTGAGTATCTTTGGTTTGTTAATTTATTATTTATTTTTTCACTACTCTTATTTTCTTTTTTTAATTTGATTTACGTTACACTTATTTTTAGTTCCACATTGTTTTTTTTTTAAATTACATTATACGTCATATTCGTGCTTCATGTTACTAAGCATGTTTTTATGTTAGCGATTTTGCTAAAATACGCAAATTAATTTACCAGGCTAAAAATCTAGCTGAAATTCCTATTTGTGAGGAAGGAGAAGTTAGTCCTGACGAATTTGCCAGTCCCATCCATCTCGAAGGAAGAGGAAAATATGACCTTATTGATGTATCACAAAAAAGAGGTAAATACATTGTAAATACAAAGCTTACTATAAAATGAACTGTTTGTTTTTCATGTAAAATAAATGCATTTATTCAGTGTTACATGTAATGATAATAATATTCATATTATGTGTATACAGTATTGCATTACTTAATTTAATATTTGCAGCGTTAGTATCAAATGTGACGGATGCAGTTGAAATGTTAATTCAACATTTCTCTCCCGCAACGGATCAAGCAGAATTGGCCTTTTTAGGGGATTCCAAACAATCTCCAGCGTGCGCAAAAATAGCTTTGAATGCTCTGTGCCCTGCTTTGTATGCAATTTTTAGAGATGGGCTTAAAGAGAATATAGAAACGTCATTTGGAGCCGTAAACAATTCTGTATGGCAAATGGTTGAAGCCACCGCTAGGCAAGGTATGCTGGCAATTAATTAAAATGTGAGAGGTTAGAATTTAACATCACAACACTTACTTGAACCTGTTATTTTATTTTAGGTCCAATAACGAAGTCCTTGAACGAGCTGGTATTAAGAATTAATAGCGAGGATGCGGTCACAGAAGGTCTTGTCAAATTTAATGCATTTATCCTCGGTCTGCTAAAGTGAGTGTCCTTCATTTCTGAAATAATATACTGTTTATACAAGTTAAAATATTATAATTCAAATTTAACTCATTACAGTTCACAGTCTGTTGACGCGTGGGTGTCGTATGTGAGAACGAGAGAATCAATTCTTGCCAAACATTATGGTTCTGATTCCTTAATTCTTGCCGGTTGCATTGGAGAACCTCGTTGCCGAGTATTGTTGGATTCCTTGTTGGCAAGCCTTGAGCCTTTGAAACTCCTACCCTTCTCACTAGACCTAATGTTTGAAATGCGTGAACTACACAGAAGTTTCAAAAGAATAGAAAGCGAGATGCGTGCTGCTAGTCGGGTAAATATACTTGTTGATTCTTATGCATTAGCCTACCTTTACCCTATTAATTAAGTCTATCACTAATAATTAACAAAGATGTTGAACTTTCGTGTTGATATTATTGTTTAAGTGAATTTTATTATAACTGTAATAACCTTACCACATAAATATGAAAATCACCTAATACATACTGAACGATCTACTATTCGTGCAGACATCGCTTTATTTGCATTTTATTGTTTATTGCATGTGCTTACAAATCATAATCCACGAAACGAGAATTCGATTCAATGTTTGAAAGGAAATTTTGGTACCTATTTATTTTCGTGCACAGCTTTCATAAAATGCAAATAAAGGCTTCGTCGCACAATCGATAGTAGTCTGACCTTGGCAAAATCTCCAATTCCCAACTAAACAATACCTAACAACGGCATTGCCGCATGATGCATGACGCTAAACATTTGATGTATTTAACAGCCTACTTCGATTAACACACCACCATTAACACTGAACCAACGGAACTTGTTGAAATTGGTCCGGTCAATGCAGTCAAGCGGCCTCTCGAGCGATGATTACCAAACAAGTGTTATAATGAGACACAAAGAGCCTAAAATCAAAGAACCTTCAACTCCTGACCTCTTAAATGATTCGGCAAATGTAAAAACTACAGTAGAAAAGAATAGGCCACGGTCTTGTGTCAATCCTTCTCCTGTTGGGTATGATCTTTGTCCGAATAATAGCAGGATTGAGATAGAGAACAACCGGAGATGGTCGGGAGTACAGTTAGGTTCGAAACTGATGCAAGCTTTCGATCGGCTCGTTTTCGACGACAGCGATGATTACACAGATAGTCTAGAAAACAATAAACCCAGCAGCAAAGCTGCTAGTAATGACGCAAAGGTAAACTTAGATTTGCCGGATTTGTGTTTCAAGTGTGCATCGTTTCGTAGCAAATGATTTTGTTTTGTTTTTACAATAACATTTGCAGGTTCTTCATTTTTCGTTTGACACATGCTTGCAGCTTGCATTATTTTTTGCAGGATAGCGCTTTTTGTTGTTTCTGATGCAATAATGATGGGCTTTCATTAATTATAAACTATTTTAGAACACAATTATATTTTATAGTCCGCGCATGATTTCAAGAGTAGTAAGTAATTATGTATTGTACCTTAATAAAAAAATACAATTATAATAAATAATTACACAAAGTGTAAGCGGATTATACAAAAATTTATAATAGAATTATAAAAATGTTTTTTTTCAGAAACGGCAAATATAATGATCACTTTAAACCCCATTTAAGACACGCAGTATAATTACTTTATTGCAAATAAGAGTTTTTTCATATAAATATATAAATAATAATAACTTAAACTGGTTTTGATTATGAAGTACAATAATGTGATTTTAGATTAGAATCGAGATTGTTTGTTTGCATGGGAATTTAAATTAAGATCTTCTTTTAGCGACGTTCTGATTTTTTATTTCAACTCTTAGAACTTATATTTAATGCCTGGAATATTACGCTCCATATCCCTCATTTGTTTCACGAGTTACTTTGTGAACCACCTTTAAATATGGCAGATATTGTGAGAAAAGTTTCAAAACCTATAAATACATATTCGTCTGTCATTTGCAGTTGGATACCAGCGGTGAGGAGCAATATAGGCCGAGTTCCGCCGGCAGCTCCGCCAGCGGGAATACCGGCAACGGAAGCAACAACTCCGGTGGGAAATTCCGAAGGTTGCAGCTCAAGTGGGAACTGCTCAGTAATGCCGAAAGCCCCGTTACACCTACAGGTATGCCCTGGTTCTCAATCTTTGTCCTTCTTCTATTTTTATATTTATTAAACTCACACCAATTAGCTTAGCCCCAATGTAAGCACTGTAAGGCTTGTGTTATGAGATACTAGGGTAACAGATAGAAATACATATACTGTACAAACAAAGTATATTTATGACTGGAGTACAAATGCTCGTATTCATCACACAAGCATCTGCCCCCACCGGGATTCGAACCCGGGCCTCTCGAGTCGGCGACACCATGAAACCCGGCATACAGACCACTCGGCCACGGAGGTCGTCAAAGCTTAATAGCAAGCATGTTTCAACATTAACCAGATGACGTAACCGGACTATTACATTATAATTTAGGTAATGTAAACTTATTAAAAGCGTGTGCTAACGATTATAATAGACTAATTTATTACTGTAATTATTTTTTTAACTTTAATATTTTGGGGTTCGTTGCCGTAATAAAATAAAAATATCAAACCTTCGGGTAACTGGATGACGACACCCTCAGACGTGACCACAATATTATGAATGGTGTTACTCATAAAATTTTTGCAGGTACGTCATTTTAATGAAAACTATAAAAACTGTAAATTATTAAAATATATAAATATTGTAAAATTTATGAATAAAAAGTTTTCAATAATTTTACAATTAAAAACAAAGTTGTTTTGTAAACCTACTAATATTTATGTGTAAATTATGTGATATGAATTGTTAAATTTTCTCATAAAACAATAAAAAGCCTAATGTTCCAGAATCATTCTTATTTTAACAGGAAAAGAAATGAAGTTTTTACATAAAACTTTTTTCTTAGAAATTATTACGTAGATTGATCACGTTAAAATAAGGGAAACAAGCATCACTCTTCACCTTAAACGATGTTTACAATAAATCAGCTGCATGAACGAGGCTCTGTTGCAAATACATTAACGCCAGACTCTGTGAAAAACATGTTTTATTGGAATTACGTTCGGTGTTTCTTGCAATATGGGCTGTGTTTATTATTTTGACATTGTTGTGATAAGACTATCCATACATTCTCAGGCGAAACCTCGCCAGCTTCGAATCGGGGCTCGAAAATCCCACGGCCAGTGTCGTCGCCCGTACGACCTCAAGCACCCACACTCCAGTCTCCAGCTAAGAACCAGCATCGGTAAGAGCACTTTCACTACTGTCTTATTAATTTCGTAAACTTTCTATGATTCATAATTTAAAATAACAATTTTGAGGCACTATAAGAATCCAGAAACCAGCACTGCTACACTCTGTTCCAAATGCTAAATATAAAGGTTGTCTGGAAGAAATCGCTTTTAGCGATAAGACCGCCCATTGAATCACTATGTTAAAACATAATGTATTTACCCCATTTATGTTCTGTACTGTGGTGTTTTCAATAAAGAATTGTGTATTGTATTGTATTACGACCTAGACAAAATTCACATTGTATAATTATTATACTTACTTATTCTAATCGTTATACTTATCGTTTAAACTCTGGTTACCTACTATGTGCATCCATTTTAACAGGCAGTAGCTCAAATTAAGAAAAATAGGTACCTACTTATCTTTTTTTCTTTTTGTTTTGTCGATGGCCTTCGTAGGAGTTCTTTAGACAATTCATCGAGTTTTTATAGAATCAAACCTTTTCTTTTCTGTTTAAGATTTTAGGAAACTATAGGTAGTTGTTTCTGGGGCTGTCGATTTTAAGAGTAGGTACCTAATTTTCGTGTCGAGTTCTACTTTACGACATTTACAAATACAATAAGTAAGATAAGAATGGACAAAGAGAATCCTACTAATTAAATTATAAAATAGGTATTATAAATTTGAAAGTTTATGTGTTGTTGTTACACTCAATCACGAAAAACCAGCTAATCGTTGTGAGCGAAATTTTAACCTGTTAGTTAGCCGCTAGTTAAAGAATACTGGCTTTGAATATTTTATTTGTAATTTCTTAGTTATTAACTTACGTAGCTATCAGAACAATAATAATATGTGAGATATGTTTCTTACAGCGGCATTCCCGTTCCGGTAAGGAAAGGCAACTCCCCCACGACTACCACTCCACGTGGTGCATCAACAAGACCAAATGTCACAAGCAAAAAGCCACCGCAACCCGCAAACAGGTATGGAACAAAAAAAGACAGTGGCACCCATAACCGACAAGAACCAATATCGATATTCCCTTCCGTGATCAACGAAAATAAGAGTAGGCAACCGATCACTAAATATGGTACCGAGTGTCCATAGGTCGGTGTTACCACACCCAGCGACCGGACACTTGCTTGCTTATTTTCATTGATCACAGAAAAAATTACGATCACAGGCTCCTGTCGGTTATTGGTGCCACTACATAAGATGGATTTATGAACTTAAATCTTGAAACCCTAATCACAATAGTTGTCCCAAACACAGTGGAACTTTTTACTAAAGTAAATTATGGTGAAGGATCTTCTATTTCAGATTATTTCTGGTAGCACCACTGTTCTGATGGTAGCACTATCCATTATGCATAGTAAAATTTATATAAACATTTTTAGCATTGCTGTAGCTTTGTAAATGAAAGACAGATTAAATACGGAAAATATTTCAATGATCCTCAAAAAATGGTTGCCTGTAAAGTCGGTTTTACGGGCGAAGATTTTACGTGACAACGTCTTTTTCTCGGTAGAATATTTATTGATATGAATATAATTAAATTGCACAATAGGAACAAGGAATTGAATGAAAATAAGAATTGCACAAATTTTAACTATAGAAATATATTTTGTTTACTAAAACATTGTACATGTAAACTTAAACTTAACACGAGAGACTCATCGTAACGTTACCGAGCGTTACACTTTTTCATAAGTGACTCCCAGCCGCAACCTAATTTAAGACGTTGTCACGTCAAAAAATAATAATTGATCACCTTGAGGATCGATTACATTTTTTTGATGATCATTGAAACATGTGCCTTTAAATACTACTGCCGTTATATTTACTATTATTGATATATATATATGGCTTAATATCTTTAGAAAACCTGAGACGACAACGAAGAAACCTGTGGCTAAACCCCAAGTGTCAAACGAAGCTGTTATTAAAACTACCTTGAATACTAAGAAATCTTCGTATGTAAAATAAAGAAGCATTGCAAAATTACCTAACTAAAATTGATATTTTTACTAAAACTAACAATCTATTTAGCATGATAATTATTACTTTTTGCATCAACATTAATCGTAAAATAAAAAAAGACACTCCCAATTTTCTGTGTTTATTTAATACTAATAACTCTATACTCCTTAAAAGTATGACTAAACTAATGCATGTAGTTATGGCTAATACATAATTTATTAATACAGTTTAATTAGATAACTAACATTTTACAATCGGTTTTTTTCTGTGTGGGTTCAGCAAGTAAAACAAACTTGAAATTTGCATGTTCCTTAACGTGCAAGAAATTTTTTATTGTTATGAACAAACTTACATGAATAGAGACGAATGGGGCTGCGTAGAGCATTTTTAGTCAGAGGGACTACCTTTTCTTAAATGACAAGAAAGTCCTCGAAATCGTCGTTTCACATAAGTCGAAGCAGTCACGATATTTCCTAGATGTGCTCCACCCAGCTCCGTCATAGAATTATTTTTATAACGCTACGGCCACATTATCGCGCGAAGATTCATGTCCCTTATTTGTCGCGATATAAAATTTCAAAAAATATCGCAGCCTCGCTATAGTACAGAAAACTGCGATAGTTTAGTAGATTTTTCCTTTAAATTTTTTTGTGGCATTGCTCATATGAGATTCCACAACATTCTTTTTATAATTTGCTATGATTTTTTTTTTATTATATCTATTTTTTTTTATTATTAACAACAAAGCGCATGAAGTGTATGCAACTGTAAGAATTTTATCGCGCTAAAAACCTTTGATGTACACCACGTTGCCGACAGCGACACAAAAGCTAATTTTAGCCGCGGTAGACGATTTATAGAACAAATTACATATTACCTAGATTTGACGCGATAACGCAAATCTCCGCATTTAGTGTGGCCGTAGCATTAGAATTTTATCCTCACTGATCCCATGATGGGTTGGGGTGTAGGACGTCCCGCGTGGACCAGCACACGTGGCAGGGAGGGAGTGCGCCGCGCCCCTCGTCGCTGCCGTACGGGCGCGCGCCGCCCGCCGCCGCGCCGCGCCGGGCTGCCTCCTCCAGCGCATCCAGACCTCACACCGCTACCCAGCAGAAACACAGGTGCGTTATATGGCGGTAAGGTAGGACGTCCCGCGTGGACCTGCCGATTTCTTCGGACCAGCAGACATGGCAGAGTGCGGTCGCCTCCTTCAGCGCTCCCAGACCTAACACAATAATCCAGATGAAACACAAGTGCATTATATGGCGAGGTGAGAAAGACGGTCCGCGTGAACCAGCAGGTGCGGCGAGGCGGGAGGGCGCCGCGTACCTTGTCGATTTCCTCGGACCAGCAGACATGGCAGAGTGTGGCCGCCTCCTCCAGCGTGTTCAGACCCCACACTAGTATCCAGTCGACACATGTGCATTATATAGCAGGGTGGGTAGGACAGCCCGCGTGGACATTGGTCCACGTCTGCTGAGACGTGGCAGGGAGAGGCCACCTCCAGACCTCACACCGCTACCAGCAGAAACACAGGTGCGTTATATGGCGGGGTGGGTAGGACGGCCTGCGTGGATCAGCAAACGCTAAAGGGGTCACGATCCTAAACACTGAGGCACCGACTAAGGAGGAGGGGATGGATGGAATACGGAATATCCCTAAACCACCCACCACGCTGAACAACCAAGCAGTGCTGCTCGGTTGGTGCTAACGACTGTGGATGAAGCCGGAACTAACGCCTTAACGAGCCTTCCGAAGCATGGAGTAGCTCGAGATAATAAGTGTTGTGTCACCCATCATAACAGGTTATTGCGAACGTTGTTTAACTTCCGCCATCACATATCGAACATGCTAACCACTGGCATCACCGAGCAACTCCTTTTATATCACGTTAGTTATCTTTAGAAAATAATAATGGGAAATATTTAAATGATCCTCAAAAAAATAATGAATGATCATCAAAAAAACAATCTCTCACCTAAAGGTTATCGATTATATTTTTTGAGGATCATTTCCATTTTTTGAGATTCATTTTAATATGATCCAATTATAAAGTAGATTCACAGATTTCGGCATATCTTATTTTCGGGAACTATTAGCTGGAAATCTGTCTTTTTGCTTCTTAAAACCCAAATAGACAACAAAAATTTATTGAACAACATAGAACTTAACCAATAATAGATGTAACATCGGCATCTTTAAAGGCTGATATAAGTGCCCCATTTTGACCTTTGTGGACATTAATACCTAATGAACACTACAATGATATGAAGTTTATACACAAAGCCTTAAGTGTACTATAAAGGTTTTCAACTCTTTTTTTATTTACCAGGTACGTTAGGACGTTATGGCATCGGCTACCGTCAGACTCAGGCCATCTCGCTTTCAACGAAGGCGAGCGTCTACGACTGATACTCGAGGTAGACGACCAGTACTTGTTATGCTGCAGAGGGGACCACAAAGGGCTCGTGCCCCGCGACGCAGTCTTGTTGGAGGATTTCTGATATTGGCAACCATAGCACGATTGGCAGCCATGTTGGCGGCCAATGCGGCTGAACTTTGGAAAGAAATAAAGATGCTAAAGCAATTCCGTGCTTACGTTTACAGTCAAACACACTGATGGAAGGCCTTGTCCAATATTGCCGATGAAAAGTGGCACAACTGTTCGGAGCTGTACGCAGCCGAATCGTCACAATTTCCATACAAACATCTGGTTACGCTTTTGCATTCCGAACACTAATGACTATTCTATGTTTGATAAAATAAAATAACTCTGTGGCAAATACTGATTTTGTAAGCACATAGTTGTGATTATATCTTTTAAGCTGTCGGATCGTATAGCTTCCCATACTATCGCGTTGTTTTGTATTTACAATCCGTCGATCGCCGGCGATCAGTGTGTCTTGAATCTTGTTCCTTACGTACCTACGTTACACCTAACCACCAATGACGATCTCTTTACATTTCATGTATCCCTTCGCTGTAGATTTAGTTCGTTTTAAATTCTATTACGGCGTATAAGGCTAAGCTGTAGTGTGAATTGTAAGCACGGAATTCTTTGCATCAATTGTTGTGGTGATGAGTAGTGTTGTATTTGTGATTTACGGAACCTTGTGATGGTTGAGATACTAGGTGAAGACTATGTACGCAAGATTGGTTATGAAAAGTGCTAAAGTGACTATAATATCTCATTAGTGGACTATGCTATTCTCGAACTCTGTAAATATAAATCTAGTTTTGTCGGGGCCCTATCATTTTTTGTTTTCAAGATTTTTCTTATCATTCGTTAGTAATCCTATATTTTTTTTAATCTATACTTCTCTATTTTAAAGCGTGCATCACTAAAATCATAACGATGACATTTGTAATCAGTAGTGGTAAAATCTAGTCCTACTTTGTAAGGTTCCGCGAGGTCTTTGTATCGAACTGTGTATAAATAATTAATTAATACTAAGAATCATAATTGTGGAATATTTACTGCTGATGAGTAGGCTTTCACCAATCAAGTATTAATACATCAATGGTAAATATTTCGTTCATGGAATGTGATATAGGTAAATTATTTACATTTTACTTTTAAGGGCGAAATCTCACATACTTTAGAAGGCGATTCTTTTATAATACTTTAAAATTTCGTAATTTGTTATTTGCTAAGAGAAAGGCACCCAATAATTCGATAGTTAGATAAAATATTTCAATATGGAATATATCGATACAATGTCTAAAGTTATCAATGTATTGTAGATTGTAAAGACCTGTGTATTTCATGTGTATTTTGTAGCAACTTAACGGCATCGCTTTTGTAGTATCTTAAATTTCAAAGGTTTTATGGTGCGGTAGATTTGAATCCATCTATTAAACAATCTCTTGTTTAATCGTTCCACGGATTGTGGTTAACTCGCATTTACTACTGACTGCATGTCGCCTACCCAAACTGCCATCCCTTCACGGTTCGTGGTATTCGAAATAGCAATACACGAATCTGTAGGAAAGCTTAACGGTGAACGGTATTAACAGCATGACCCTTACCTCTAAACCCTCCTTAATGCTGGCCTACGGTTCAAAACAAACAGCATTCAGGCGTCGGTGTTGGTTTCTAACAAACTTTTGATCTATTAATTGCATGCGCCTATCCAATTTACACTTCCTATACCCAGCACTGCGCAAACCAACACACCAAAGCAGATCACAAATTTACCGCATTCTCGAATCATCTCATTTTTAATAGGTCTCAAGAAGAGAGCTATGAGCTTTGCTAAACTTATATGTATATCATATATCTTTTCTATTTTATATATTATATAGTGAATAATAACTAATCATATCACCGCTTGCGGATCGCGAAGAGAAATGATATTTTTGGTACGGACTTGTATTGCTCAAGATGGAAAAGGCATCGTTTTCAGTGATAAACTAAATTGGTAGTATTGGCGTGGTATACTAAATTGGTAATAATCATGTGTAATCTAAATTTATACTACTATTAAACATCAGTATTTATCGATGTGTGGTATTTGTATATAAGTATGTACTTATTTAACGAGAATTATCTTCATTAGTGAAATTAGAGATCAAAATTTTTGTAACAAACCTATGAAAATGCACGATACAGTTCCTCTTGTAGTCGGTCGTGCTGTCGAGTCACATATTGGTGAAGTAGTCGGTATACGTACTATAAAATTAGGATTCAAAATTTGTTGTATGCGTGTTACAGTGGTGTCTTTCTCGAAGCATATGAAGATTAATATCGAAACGAAACTCCTTGCCAACTGCATTCAGTGGTAGAAAACACATGAGGCTAGTTGACATTAAAAAATCTCATAAATACTAAATATGGACGTAAGATGACACAAAATTAGTATTGTATTGTACAATAGCGAATACTATACACAATAATTAGGATATTAACGATGTTATTAAATAAACGATATTAGTGAAATATTATTAGTTGGTCTGTCTGTGTAACATCGTAACACAATTCTTTTGTAATATAGCCGTTCCCATAATCCATTTAGTATAAAACGCGCTTTGTGACTGAATGATGTGATGTGGCCTTTTGTATGTATTAAAGTTATATTAGTATTTAGGTACTGTGTTGTGAGTGTGCGCTTGTTGCATCAGCCGGGTCTATGGACATCGTCTATTTAACATGCGAATAGCATCGGGGCATGCTTCCAAAATTTATTTATGTAATTAAAGATGCTCTTACGGCCGTCTAAGTATTATCTGAACAAACAAGCATTAGCGGGGATGAAGCAGAGGTTACGGCTTTGCAAATTTCCCACATTATACGCTTGGCTGTTAGCTCGTATACATTTTAACACAATTAGGAGTTTGTTAGACGTAAGTTTTTATCAACAATTTGTATTGTCGAATGATGTTGAAAAAAGTTTTTTATATTATATTGACATCCAATCCTGCGCGTTCGTTTTAAGATAAATTGTTGGATATTATAATGTGGTTAGTCAGTTAGTTGTCCTCATTGGTACAAGCAGTTAAGTTATTTCACTATTATTGTGTTAAGTATTAATTTATAATAATTTCGATCGGGATCAATAGGTTGATTTTTGGGTTGAATAGTTTATTTTCTTAAGAAAAAAAAATAAGTGAAAAAAAGAGGCTTTCGTTACATGCGAAACGTCAACGAACGACTGAGAAATAATTCCGAATATTTTATAACTTAAGTTAACCTCGAAAATATATATTGTATAATAATGTATTTCGACATTTATTAATTCAGTGTATGTATTGTTTCAAAGATATTTTATTTGTGTTAAGTGCCATAATTTAATGAATTAACAATTGATAAAATATTATTATAATGCATAACCATGTACACCAATTAAAAATACCTATGTAAAACAATATTGTTGTTTATTTTTTAATTATCAGTACCTACCTACTATATTGATACTAGTTTGGCAGGTCTATTTATCTAGTATTTTAACATATATTCCATGTTGCATAGCGATTTTTGCTTTTTTATATTAATTTTTAGCTTAACTAAAATAATTTATTACCTACTAGTTTTAATAAGAATCTTACAATCCTGACGAAATTGCAAAATTAAAACGTCAATGACATATTTAAATACAAAATGCTACAGCATGAATATTGAAAGTTGATATCTATACTTAATATAATAAAGAGGAAAGGTTTGTATGTAAGTATGTTTGTAACGAATAGGCTCCAAAAGTACTGGACCGATTTTAAAAATTCTTTTACCATTTGAATGCTACATTATCACTGATTAATAAAGGCTATAGTGTATTTTCAAAAAAGTTAGGGTTCGGTATTTAAACTTCGATAATATAACCCAACGTGTGTAAAAAAAACAAAAATGGCCTCATATGGCGTACGCTGCGGAAGTCATTGACAATAGAGCAAAGTGATATACCAAAGTTTTATAGAGGCTACCAATATCTATAAAAAAGTCAGCGATACCATATATCTAACTATTAAAGTTATGTCACAACTAGAGGACCCCGGCGGTTTCACCAGCGTTAATTTGAAGAAAAAGATTTATATTGAGTCGAACTTAAAATATGGACATAGGCTGTCGTGGACTTTTTTAACAGAACTTTTAAAGGGGAAGAATTCCGTCATACATGATTTTTGTGTAACCTTGACCGTTTACCCAGCGCGCGCAACAGAATCTCACAAAGGAATATTTTACCCGTTTTTGCAACATTTTTCATCGATGCTCCGCTGCTACTGGTCGTAGCCTGGTAAATAGCCTATATCCTTCCTCGATAAATGCACTGTCTAATACAAAAAAGATATTTTCAAATCGGAACAGTAGAGCAATGTTACATTCGGTACAACGGGTCCTAAACTACGCAACGATTTTTTTACTTGGAATGGAAGATTTATAATTATTACTAGCTATCCCAGCGAACTTCGTACCGCCATAAAAAATAGCGGTTGGTAGTAGAAAGGTGAAAATTGTGGTTGGGGGGTACATAGGGTGGAATGTATTTTTGTATCATAAAAAAATAAAAACAAAAAATTGTCCAAAAAAGAAAATTAAGGGAGGACCATCCTAAACATTTAAGAGGATGAAAAATAGATGTTGTCCGATTTTCAGACCTACTGAATATGCATATACGAAAATCGGTCGAGCCGTTTCGAAGTAGTTCAATTACGCACACCGTGACACGAGAATTTTATATATTAGATGAAGAAAGACATTGTGTATAATACAAGCCTTAAACAATAACTAGTCTACACTACAGCTCTACGCCGAAGCAAAGCGAGGGCGGGCCACAAGTCTTAAAATAAACAAACAAACCGCAGGATTCGAACCCGCGAAATTCAAAAGACACATTAAATTCTTCGGCAGCTCAGCAACAGTGCGTAAAGCAAAAAGATGCATATAAGTAGTCAACCCCACTTGATGTCAATTATTAGAGCCTGCGATGCATTAAGCTGGGAGCACGGAGCGGGCATCTGCTCCGCGTGTTTCATGATATTTCATAGAGTAGCGCTTGGTTAGGCAAGCGCGCAGCAAATCTCTATGAAAGGACATAAAGGTGGTTTTCCAATTACAGAGCATAATGCGACTTAGTGGCGCACAATGCCGAATTATGCTGATGCTTCATTGGAACGTGAATTAGTTTTCAAATGCACCAGCAGAGTGCGCTTAGTTCAGTGTTGAAAAAAAAGTCAATGTTTGTACCTTCATCCATATTTATATTTATTTTTTTAACACAGTTTGAATTAACTTTGATTATTTAAAAAAAAACTATAATGAAACGAAACTTTTAATAATTTTTCAACAATAAATAATATTACTAACGATAAATTAAAAATAAAACATTTCGATCAATGCCAACTTAAAGAAAAAACACTTGTTAATTTTCTGTCTCTGAGTTGGTACGATTGCACGCATCACACGAAAGCATTACTTTTGAGAGTGCTCGATTGTGCGAAGCGTTGCTGTTGTTGAAACATTCAACGTTAAGCATTATGCCGCATAATGCGCTATAATGCTATAATTGGAAAGCTACCAAAAACTGCACGTGGAGCGGACGCCCGCTCTATGATCCGCTTGTCGCAGCGAAAGCTCTTAATGGAGTCGTGTGAAGAAAGGTCGTTCCAACCATCCACACCTTGCCGGCTTGAACCCAATCCTCTACCCTCTTATCCCCTTGGAGCCTGTTAGGGCAATGTTATGCCTCAATCACATTTGGTCACGAAAGACATTACTCGAATTCGGGCACCCGAAGCAATATTTATACTGGAATATGGGCTGGAAGACGGTGTCGGGTAACCAAAACGAAAATTACCCGAATACGGGCGTACTCGACTCCGTTCATTAACACTTAGTCGTTTATCCGAATTCCATTGGCACTCGTATTCGGGCTAACTGCTCACGCATGCCTGGTCCACGTGGAATTTTTTCTAGTTATATTGTCTTTTTTTATCTCAGAAAATTACATGTATATTACGTTGCGGAGATAATGATGAATTTGCTTTGTTACATCTCTAAAATTCGCATCGATGCGTTTCGACTCTTAATATGATGAGGCGTTCGGTCGCAATCGAAGAAGTTAAGCAACTTTCGTAGTGGCCGGTTATTGATAGGTGATCATAAACTTAATATTCGAGCTCCTTCGTGCTTCGAAAGGCACGTTAAGCTGTCGGTCGCGGCTGCATCTGCAATCGTTAGCATCCACAAATCCGCACTAGGCCCGCGTGGTAGATTATGGCCCAATCTCCCTATTCCATCCTAAGCGAAAGCTCGTGCCCCAGCAGTGGGGACATTAAAGGTTGATGATGATGATCTTCTGTAAGGCGGAGAAATAGCGAATAAGAGCAACTTAAGTAACCGTTTTATTTTATATAGGATTTAAGAAAGTTAATAAATGAAACAAGTTATTGTGTTTTAAAATATTTTATTAATCAACATTTAGGTACAATTTTTCTACTTGACATTTGAGACTATACTATAGGTAATAAGGTAAGATAAATAAATAATCATCACTACTCTGAGCATTGAACTTGTCGTGACCACTACTAACACTACGTTATTACTAATATTTTCGTATAAACTTAACATAATCTCTACAAATAAAAAGAAAGAATATGCAATCAGTTGTAAATTCCAGACAGTTCTTAAAAAAGTAACCTGAATGGCAGGAGCAATAAATCTTTTCAATGTAATGGATAAGCTTATAAGCATTTCACTTCTTAATGTTTCGCTAATTTTTGAAACTTTGCAGGATGATAAAAGATATTGGATGTGTATTTTTGAAAAAAAAAATGGGAAATGCCTTGTATTCTGAAATTAACAACGGCACCAATAAAAGTTGGTCTTTTATTATACTGGCCTGTTGAGTGGCAGTAGCGATTTTTTTTTTAATTTTGTTATAACTTGTTATGCAAAGGACTACCACATCAGATGTTAAGTGGTGATAAAGTCCAAACGCAATGTTATGATACAATACAATACAATACAATACTACTGCAAACCAACAGTAAAACTAAGTGGACTAGACTTGACCAGAGGCTTGCATCGCCAAATGACAAAGTATAGTACTATAACCGAGTAGACTATTTATACTTTTAGTCGAACATCAAAGAACAAAAAACTGATTTGAAAGTTAAGTAAATCGCCCATAGAAACGCTCAGGGCCCTAACTTAAGGGGCGGCAAGCTGCGTAGGGCTAATTAGACTTAACGTTACATCTTAACTTTTTAAAAGCAATTTTTTTTTTTCTACTACGTACAAATGTGAACGTGCACATATAAATTTTATTTTTGAATAATGTATAAAAAAGTGGATCGACGTTAATTGTGCTTATACATTACCAATACAAAACAAATTGTGTACAACTGCGGCTTTATAAATATAAAGAGCAAAGTTAACTTGAATATTATTTTGAACCATCTAAGGCAATGTAATATGTACTTGAGTAAAAACTGGAAAAAATCTTAGTTTATTAAAATTCTATAATTCGATGTGGGATCTGAGCGGTAAATAATGAAGTAGATAAAAAGATACTACAAAAATTAACATACAAGCTGAAAATAAGTCTTTTATATAACAGTCGATGCAAAGTCTGCTGATAAAATTTTCCACTAATGGCGACTTAACTTAGTAATAACATTGATGATATTCGTACTGCAACTATCTGTTGCCGTCACGGATATTTCCTCACGGTAACATAATTTACCTTTTTGTGGTTGTTTGAAATAGAAAATCCATTAAAAGTACATAGTTTCCTCCAAAGAAATCGTTATAGGTTTTTCTTTGTACGTCAAGGACACTTTCCTTATTTACAGGTAAAGTAATATAAGTATTAGATAGATTGTCGCCAGCAGTGTTTCTGGATGAATATGACTTAAAAACCTTCAAAAAAGAGCGAAATTCTTCCTTAAAGGCCAGTATTGCATTTGTAATACACCTGGTGTTGCTAGTGTCTATGGGCGACGGTGATCACTTACCAACGGGTGAGCCGTCAGTTCGTATGCCCCTTATAATATTAAAATATATATATAAATCAACTAGGTGTGTAGTGCTGTCCAAAGCCTATTTAATATTTCCAAATAATATATAGTCTTCTATTTTTTTAAATTTATATTTAAAGTTTTCAATACTTTTCTCGTATAATCCTTAGACAACTACAAGTTTTGATAAATCACGAGGGATGTTTGCAGATTTTAAAATATGCTAAGTTACTACATTTCATATATTTGAAGATAGACAATGATTACCTATGCTCGCTAGGTTTCTAACATGTAAAGCGAAAAAAAAAACGATCGAAACTTGTCCAAACTCACTTAAGTTTCCTAAAAGTTACTCTTATTAAGACCCAGAAAAGCAAAGGGATAAACTATTGTCTATTATCTCATTCAAGAAA